CACTTTATTTTGTTTGGTTCTCGTCAGTTGCTTACAACGTGTGATAATTAGGAACCTTAAATGCAAAACGGATCTAAGTTACTTACGTCAGAGTAATAAGTTTGACGTATTTCTGAAGACAAATCAGCATGTTATAGCGAGCGTGGTAGCCCATCTCACCAAGCTCGTAGAAGCTTTCGGATGAGAAAGACCAAATATTTCACTAGACACATTTTCCACTGTGAAATTACGCGGGACTATAATTTATAGACGAACCAATCTGGTATAGGATAACGGGTCTCGGACTTTGGCGCGAAATTCATTCATCCATTTGGCTAAATAAAATCTTGGCATTATAGTTGATGTCAGTTCGTGATGAAATCCATAAATCTAATTGCTAACACTAACCGTCAACTGTAAATCACAATTCTAATTCCTCACGCTGGTTTATCACCCTCATTTAATTCTAGTTATTGGGTGGACATTCTCAAGGTCACTTGAGAGTCACTCAGAAGTAGTCCATAAATCATAGTCTCACCTGAAAGTGTCAATCACTGTCTTAGATAAGGTTACTTAGGTAGGGATCCATGAACCGCACAGTGTAATACATTCATATTTCTATTTTGTGTGGTTCATGTCAAAATATTTCAGTCAGTAGTTATTTAGCGACAGTTCAATAACCGAGTTTATTCATGTTTGAAGTGTTTTACGTTTGTATTGCTGAGAAATAATTACCTACGCAACTATCTATGCTCGGATGTTTTATTTTTCAGGAATATTGTCCAAAGTGAAAGAAAACCGCGTGGAACAACATTCTTCTAGTTGTTGTCGAGAGAGAAACTCATTTATTAGATTTGATTAATGAACACTGTTTGGAGGTATCTGTATTTTGAACACTAAATGATAGCTTACCTTAACTTGACATAAACTTAGTATGTATGAATTAACTACGTTAAAACATGTATCGCTTGATCAATCTATCATATTTTGCAGTTTATTTTGATGGTCCTATATATATGGTAAAGTCAATGAGTGTTAAATGTTTATACAATAATTACAGTAGATATGTTCAACATTTTAACTTTTGTCACTGTGGGTTATTTTCAGATTTAGTTTTGTAACGTAGACGATCAATTCTTGCATAACACATATATTCAACAAACATTCCTGAAGTGTATTTAGTTGTCACTGTCTATAATCTGTCTTGAATCACAGGTTTCTTCCATTAGTCCAACGTCATCTCCCAATGTTTTCGCTCTATTGCACACCAGACGGATTTTCATGTATTCACACCAAAATATTTCAGAGATTAGACAAAGAATAAAATCTTCACTTTATATATTTTCATTATTCTGTATTACACACTTAGTCCAATTTAGTAGTGCGAAAGTAAATTCAGTAAGCACACAAAATTTAAACTTCCCATGGACGTCTAAACTGGGTTTACTGCAGATGTACTTCCTACTTTTAACGTACGTTTTTCTTGGTCAGGATCAGTTCGAGGCAAAGTAACATATAAAATGTTTGTCTTTCTAATATAAGAATTAGATATTCGTGGAGTTCACTAGATTTGTAATTGAATTCATGAACGAATATTAGCTATCTTAAAGCTTTCATTAATTCCAGCTCTAATTCTACACTGGTCTTTCCTTGTTTTAGGAATCAACGCTTCCAGATAACCCTGAATGTTTTTCTCTAACCTGTGAGTCAACATCTATTTCTTTTTCTTTTCTGAACGATAATTGTTCCGAACAACGTAACAGTTTAGACGAATCTTATTTATTAGATATCAATTCCGAAGGTCCGGCTAAAATTACACTGCATTATTTATCTACATGAGATACTGATGAAAATGTAGATAACTCCCGAAAGTCTTCCAGTGCACCACAGAGAGGTTATGAAGATCCTAATTTCCAACCTTTTCAAACAACATCACCAGAATATGGTTCCCATCTGGTTCATTAATTAGGTGTTCACGCATCGTTTGATAGACATTCTTAAAAATGTAATACAAGATGGTTTACTCCGACACATACTTTAGTTTCAAGTGAACTAGCGTTGGCCACTTTTCGCCCAAATTCACCACTAAGTTGTTCCTCATTATCTAATTCAACAACTCCCCAATTGAATAATTCTACATTAAATGTTCGGTGTGGTTAGGAATACAACAATGTACGATTTGAGTGAAGTAGATTTTTAGTAATCCTCCAGATTGGTAAATCTTCATGACAGCCAACCAAACTGTTGGGTTAGTGTCATTCAGAAACGCCTCCAAATGCCTTAATACGGCTTATAGTGGGGAGAGTCCGCCCTCTATCTCAAAATCCTTTTACACAACCACGCATATAAATCCACTGCCACGGAAGTCCTACTGACTGCATTCCGATGGTAGGTATACTGTTTACGGACTTCAAAGGACGAAAAGCGAATTGATGGAGCTTCAACCATGTTTGTAGGTACAAAGAATCAATCTACGGGGGTTGAGAAGCATAGATTCTAAACCTATGGTCGTATCAACCTACCGTTGGTCGCCGGCTAACATTGGACTGCATTACCTGGAGTTTCTCTACTGCCTTGTTAATCACAACTTTAGGTTGAGGGCTCCTTATGTGGCCACTTCAGAAAACCATTTGAGTCGGACAGGGAAACCAGACGGTTTCAAAGCTCACGCACAAAATAAGTGAATGTATAGCGCATATATATTCGGTGCCTATTTGCACCAATATTTATGCGCTCAAATAAAATAAACAAAACATAAATTCACAGATTCACATATGCAGAATATTTTATACATTTAAACAGATATGTATTCATGGAAGATTGAGATACAACAAAACTAATTAAATATGTAGTGGCATTGAATCAATATCACACGACTTTTGAAGCCGAGAATATGATTCCTGAAATGGCACATATTAAACAATCGATACAAAGTGTAGGTTAACAGTGGAGAACGCGGAACATTGATTCAACTTTCTAAAGCTAGATAAACCTAATAAATGGGAATAAGAAGAATTTGTGTGATGTAATTCGAGTTTGTAAGTGTTCGCACACATAGCTTGTCATTATTCAAATCTGTCATGATCGATAAACGATATAACCTCGTATGATAATGGAGAAGTTAATTTTGATTAGGGGAATAGTTCTAAATATAGTATGTAAAGTTGAATTAGGGCACCATGTTTATTTTATTTGACGGAATTTTGAAAAACACGTGCTTGAATATTCGTATTCTTCTTTATGAACGTTATTCCATTGTTCATGAATAAATCAAGTAGACCAAGGTCATTCAAATCGGTATTTGACAATGACAATCAATACCAGAATCAGAACACTATTACACTCTTAGGAATCAAGCAAAGTATATTTACTAAACTACTTGATGCTTTATATTACATGACTTGATGCTAAAAAGTGTAGGTGATTGGATGTGTTTGAACACATCTCGAACACTTATCTGCAACATAATTCCGTCAAATAAAATAAACATGGTGCCCTAATTCAACTTTACATACTATATTTAGAACTATTCCCCTAATCAAAATTAACTTCTCCATTATCATACGAGGTTATATCGTTTATCGATCATGACAGATTTGAATAATGACAAGCTATGTGTGCGAACACTTACAAACTCGAATTACATCACACAAATTCTTCTTATTCCCATTTATTAGGTTTATCTAGCTTTAGAAAGTTGAATCAATGTTCCGCGTTCTCCACTGTTAACCTACACTTTGTATCGATTGTTTAATATGTGCCATTTCAGGAATCATATTCTCGGCTTCAAAAGTCGTGTGATATTGATTCAATGCCACTACATATTTAATTAGTTTTGTTGTATCTCAATCTTCCATGAATACATATCTGTTTAAATGTATAAAATATTCTGCATATGTGAATCTGTGAATTTATGTTTTGTTTATTTTATTTGAGCGCATAAATATTGGTGCAAATAGGCACCGAATATATATGCGCTATACATTCACTTATTTTGTGCGTGAGCTTTGAAACCGTCTGGTTTCCCTGTCCGACTCAAATGGTTTTCTGAAGTGGCCACATAAGGAGCCCTCAACCTAAAGTTGTGATTAACAAGGCAGTAGAGAAACTCCAGGTAATGCAGTCCAATGTTAGCCGGCGACCAACGGTAGGTTGATACGACCATAGGTTTAGAATCTATGCTTCTCAACCCCCGTAGATTGATTCTTTGTACCTACAAACATGGTTGAAGCTCCATCAATTCGCTTTTCGTCCTTTGAAGTCCGTAAACAGTATACCTACCATCGGAATGCAGTCAGTAGGACTTCCGTGGCAGTGGATTTATATGCGTGGTTGTGTAAAAGGATTTTGAGATAGAGGGCGGACTCTCCCCACTATAAGCCGTATTAAGGCATTTGGAGGCGTTTGCGCATGACACAAACTCAACAGTTTGGTTGGCTATCATGAAGATTTAACAACCTGAAGGATTGCTTAAAAAACTAACTAATGTTGTAACTGATGTAACCTCAGTATCCATGACACTCCAAGTGATGATTTGCGAATACGATTGCAGTTTACGTAGATCGTTTTAACCCGAATCCACAGTGCATCTTGCTAAATATAATCCATCAGTTATCTTACGGTTCTCGTAATGCCTAATTTATAAATAAGATTAGAATGAAATTTGTACATTGATGTTATGTCACATTGAGAGCGATGAATGCTGGACTTAAGTATAAGACGTTGCAAAATGAAATATTGTTTACTTATCCACTTGACCTGACTGATTTAAATTTTTTTAATTTATTGTCCTAATGATACTAAGATAGGGTCAGTAATTGACCCGAAAATCAGTAACTCTTACAGGTACATAATATGTTGAGATTTGAATTGTCCATGTTGAAGTGGAGTCACAAAAGAAATAATTTCAACAAAATCATGAAAAACACTTGTAAATATATTGATAAACAGAAGTGTTCGTAAGATTGTCTTTGTACACGGTTTCTATAAAACAACGGTCAGAAGTTAGGTTTTGGAGTTACATGATGAAAATCAGCGTTGTTGTTCCTATTCTCCTTGTGTTGTTGAGTTCAGTTAAATCTGCTCGTCATTGCAAAGTTGCCAAATCTAGAAAACCGGTAAGTTAAATGACTATTTAGTTATAGAGTACTTTAGAGAGACGGCGTTTACTCACAGAATACGGAAGAAAGACTGTTGAAACATAGAAATCTGAAAATTATACCAATATATGATGTTGAACTTCAAAGGTGCAAATCATTCCCAAAAATAAAGGTTTATTTCAGTATATTTGTTTACATAAGAAATCATCTTTGAAAAATCGATATTCATGATATGACAAACTGGAAAACGGCCTATTTTTAGACGAAATCGGAATGAATAGTTCATTTTCCGAATGTCGGCATTATTAATATGTTCATAATTAAAATGACGAACAATTTTGTGGATACACGAGATGGTTGATATTGATTAATTTCATTGAGATTAAAGATAAATTTAGTTAAGAGAACTACTGAAAAATGAAACGACTGTTCAGTTTTCCCATTTTTTTCTGTGGTTGTTTATCTTCTCCACCGTCAAGTTGAATCTCCCCGTTTTCGTTGCTATTTGACTGGTACTCCTGGTTTGTCAAGTTGTCCGGACATTACATGAATCTGTAAAAATTGTCGTTAGAGATGGCATCAACCACTTGACTTACGAAGATTATTGGCTTTCATCATAAGGCGTGATAATTCATTTGAATGAATGCCATTCAACTCCCAGAACAGATTTTTTATGGTTTATTCTGGTTAGCATCTTTTTAGCAAGATTTTATTCTACGTGATGAGGTTAGCGACTCCATGCCCAACTCTCGTTTTTGTGGACTTGTGACCGTTAGTAGCTTTACAAGAGCTACAGGGACAGTTTCTCAGTTTCTGTATTTACTTATATTACCTAAATTCTTTTGCAAGCACTGTCATTTCTCATTAATTTATTTTTACAAAAATTTCCGTTATCATTCGTTTTCTGTCAAGAATTCTATGCTTGATTTTATTCCTACCAACAGAACGCAATTGAGAGTACTTCCAGTTATTTTGAGAGAGCACTGGTTGTCAATGTAGATAGAGAAGAATCGTTACTCGTTTGTAGGTAAATTATGAATTATAATGTTTTAATAAATGATGTCTATGTCAGTTTTTGGCCACAATTTACATATGAACATAATACTAATGACTTTACATTAAAGCTAGTCACATTATTTATTCTGATTTCTATAAACATTGTTTAAAAGTCAAGTTTTGCATAAACTATTCCCAAATGGGCGATCACTAAGCTGATCTTTTGACAAAATCTACGAATATAATTTTTAAAGTGTCTACAATCCTGTTCTCTATGTAGTAGTCTTTTATCTAGGACATACAATGAGTATTCACTCTGCATCTTTCGACAGAATCAGATCAATGCTCAGCTCAAAGCTTCTTTTGACACAGTGTGATCCCAGCTTGGTAGTTGTTGTTGTATCTGATGCCTCTAGTCATGGAGTTGCAGCAGTGATATCTCACGTGTTTCCGGACAAATTAGAGAAGACAATTGCCTATGCTACTAGATGACCCTCTCTAGCCGAGAGAAACTACAGTCAAATTGAAAAAAGAAGCTTTCGCAACCATTTTTGCTGTCAGAATATTTCATAAAATGCTCCATATACGTACGGTTACTCTACTGACAGATCACAAAACTTTGAACGCGCTTTTTGGTTCTTAGAAAACAATCCCTGTCTATAGGACTAACAGATTACAGCGCTGGGCAAGAATCCTCAATATCAAGTGTCACTCGATAAATACTGTCGGTCAAGCCGACGCTCTTACTCAATTGATTGGAGTTCAACATACTGGACCAGAGAACACAATCATTGCCTCCAATCAGTGGATCCAGAAATACAGAGTATAATAGCTGATGTCACTCAAAACACTCCGGTGTCGTCCGATGAAGTCAGAGAAGAAACCCTTCGAGACTCAATCCTACAAAAATTTGGGAACTTTCACTTAGAAAGGTGACCCACAAAGATCAATTCCACCCAGCTTCAACAGTTTTACCAGCGTAGACTCTCTCTTAATCATCGACGACTACCTATTGTCTACCGAGCGTGGCATAATCCCAAAGAAGCTATAACTTGGACAGTTGCACACAGGACATCATGGAACAAACCGCATGAAAGCACTAGCACAAAGTCACAACAAACTGACCACTGCACCAAAATCAAAGCTCACCTACCAGAAAAACCAGATGTCAAACTTATTTTCCGCCGAAGACGTCCTGCACAACATGATGCTCTTGAGACATTCGATCAGGAAAGTTATCGCTTCCGACTAGCTGTTGTAACCCAGTCCTAATATACCATGTTTTATGTCAGGGAATTGAGTTGTTTCTTCTAAAAATGAGTGTGTGAATTGAGACTATGAATTAGCTGCAAGATATTTCTCAAATATGATGTAACAAAACAAGATAAAAGTAAGTATTTTCAATATATTTAGCATTATGTATGGTGAATTCCCTAATTGGGCCTAAAGTAAATCATGTCATTTCATCTTCCCATTGTGATGTGTTTTATTTGAATTCCAGTTAACCCTATTAGATTCATATCTGTATACATAACCACTTAGTACAAGTAATGCCATAAAATTGCTTCAACTCAATAACTTTATTGTCATTCTCGATACTGGATTAAGAATTTTCATTAAACTGATTGAATAGGTAAACATTCAACTCAAGGTCCCTATTGAAAATTAAATATTTTTCAAATTATTTCAACGGCGAGACTATATTTATGAACGAACGAATCAGGTGTAAGATAACAGCTCTCGGATTTTAGCGCACAATTCACTTATCTATTTGGTTAATTAGAATTTTGGCATTACAGTTGTTGTCAGTTCGTTAAGAAAATCATAAATCCAATTCTTAATACTAACTGTCAAGTGTGAATCACAGTTCTTATTCTTCATGCTGGTTTATAACCGCTAATTTACTTCTCGTTATTAAGTGGACACACTCAAAGTCACTTGAGAGTCACTTAAAGGTTATGCATAAATTACAGTCTCGAAATTTCAACTCCTCCCTTCTAATATCTACTAATGGTAAACACTATACAATATAATTTAATACTGTATTGACTTGTATTTAATATTAAACAACCATGTATGTGTTTACAATTGCATAATTAGTTATTATTCTTTAAAGCATTTTGTATTCATCTAATTTTAATTATGATTAATCCAATGATTTTGTTATTCAGAGAATGTGTAAAACATAGATTGATAATTCCCGGAAAGGAGGAACAAACATACTGTGATGTGGGTGGATGTGAACAGAGTCAAGAATGTTATGAATTTAAAATTCCTAATGTTTATTTATCTGTAAATGTTTGTATAATTTGACTTGTGCTATGTAGAAAAATTGTTTGTATTCACATTGGTGCTATGTAACTTAAACGACGTTTTTGTTGTTGTTGAAGTCATCTGATGATAAAATAAGCATTTAGAGTAATTCTTAGATCTGGTCTGTATTTTACATCACTGTTCGTTAGTTGTAACGGAGTTTATTTAAACTGTATTCTCTAAGATTTCTGATGGAGTACAGTGTTCAGACAAAAGTTGAATGTAGTATAGGGGTTGTGGAGATTATTACGTTTTTCATTGAAATCATGGATCGATTGATGTTGGAACACCGTTGGAAACCTAGAAGCAGTGGACGGCCGTTTCATCCAATGGAAAATGGTCACATAATTTCTTGGATTGGTTGGTGTTAGACACAATCAGCATTGGATGCCGGCTCAGTGGTCCAGTAGGTTAGGCGTTCATGCGCGAGAACGAAGTCCCTGGGTTTGAATCCCGCGAGCGAAATCGTGGATGCGCACTGCTGGGCAGTACCACAATAGGACGTAACGGCCGTCCAGTGCTTCAAGGTTTACAAAGATGGTCTAACATCAATTGAGTCATGATCTCAACAAAAAGTTGAATCTGTCAAAATCACAAATAACTAACAGACAAAAGACTTCTATGATATAATCTTCAAAGGCAAGTATTTATACTGACAGCATTTAAAATTAAGTTAACAAAATATTATGCAAGCAAAGATGGTTAGTGTTTAGCAGAGGAATACAGAACTCGCGTTTCATCCAGTTTGGGACTAAACAATTAGATGTGTGGTGGTCGGTATTCGATATATCCCTTAAACTTCGTATACAATTCGTTATGATAACCGTCCTATTTAACCCCCAATTGTATATTATTCAGAAGGCGAATGCGAAGCGTTGATTACGTTTATTTCGAGACCACACACACAGATGTCCAAAATTTACAGATGCATTAAACGAGCATTAAGAGTTGTGTCGAACGTCAAACAGGCAAGCGAGCGACTGAGCGAATGTAAGTAATCGAGTACAATCAAGCGAGCGAGAAAGCAGAGTCAGTCATATGAATAACATGGACATTTATATAGCATGTGAAATTAATGAGTAATCGAATCAAATAAGCGGTTAGTAGTAAGACTAGCAGAGTGAATAAATGCGTAGGTTGTAAGCAATATTCAAGCATGCGTATTTCGTACAAGCACAAAATAATAATAAGGGTACAATAAATTGTTATAGTGCGGATGGCTTTGTCCGCTAAATAAGTTAGCAAAAGGGCTTAACTGAGTAAAATGAGAATAAACCCATTCGCACGTGAGTCGCTATAATAGCTCCCCCCTGCAAACAAAGATATATGGTAAATGTCTGTGTTTGCGTAAAAAAATGTTAGACTGAGTATGGTAGTTTCAGGTAAACATTTGCTGCACGGCCATTTTTGTATTTCTTTTCGAGTGAAATTTTTTTCATCCCCTTCGAAAAGATTTTTCAGCCCCATCTCCCAATAATTTTCATTCTGTTTCGTCCAATCAAATAACTAGTTTTGACTTCGTTATAATTGGTCGTTTATTTCTTAAAATCGATATAAAATATCAGGACATGACGACAGAGCACATTTTTTTACATTTATGGACGGTGGTAACAAGCGGAACGCGAACTCTGTCGTTCCTCACGTTGTCACTGTTGGGTCGGCTTCCAGAGAACTTCAACGGAGCCTCCAGAGGCCCAAAAGGAGCCGAAGAGTCCTAGCCAATCAGAGTGTGATGGAACGTTCCAGAATTCCAACGTGGCGTGCTACTATTGGTCGGTAGCATAATGAGTTGTTATCGGATTGGCTGTAAATTGATGTTGATTTAACAGACGCCAAAATCTATAAATACCCATGATTTTCTGTACAAAAATGAACCTTGGAATAAAGTGCTTTCTCTCGTTCTTGTGTCTTCTCTCTGGAGTTCAAGTCGCTGTGTAGTTCTAGACTGCGGGTTACCGAAATAGCTTAGGAATCGTATATAGCGTTCAACCTACACGACTTATCAGTGGCGACGGGGATGAAAACTTCAATGAATATTTCCTTGAAGCAATTAGAAGCTTATATGGTGCGTCAAGAAAAGAGGTTTGAAGAGTCCCATATTAGAATCATGGAAACCCTGATGCAGAAATTCTGCCTCTCCGAGAAAAACCCTGCTTCTAGTGAATCTCAAGTATCACATACTGATTCAGTCATTAACGCCATCCATGAATTTAATTTTGATGGTGTAGCAGGTGTAACTTTCGAGTCGTGGTTTAAGAAGTATGAAGATTTGTTTTATATTGATCTTTGCAAACTGGATGATGCTTCAAAAGTCAGAATACTTCTTAGAAAACTTGGTACTATGGAACATGAACGCTATAGCAATTTCATTCTTCCGAAGAACCCACGAGATTTTAGTTTTGATGATACAGTCAAAACCCTATCCCAAATATTCGGAGAACAATCATCTCTATTTAATATCCGTTACCAATGCTTAAAGTTAACAAAAGAACCAGGAGATGATTGGGTGAAGCACGCAGGAACTGTGAACCGAGAATGTGAGAGGTTTAGATTGTCGTCCATGTCTGAAGATCAGTTTAAATGCTTAGTGTTTATCTGCAGCCTGCGTTCACCCGAAGATGCCGATATCCGAACCAGACTCCTAAGCAAACTCGAACACTGCCCTAATATGACCCTGCAAGAAGTGACTACTGAGTGCCAAAGGTTAGTAAACTTAAAGCATGATACCTCAATGGTCGAAAACGGTAACTCTTTCCGTAACGTCAATGCAGTTAAGAGAAAAGTCTTTCAAGGTTCCAGTACCAATAATTTCCAAAATAACAGCGACAAACCACCATCTCCATGCTGGGCATGTGGAGGTTGGCACTATAAGAGTTTTTGCCCATATAAAGAACATCGTTGCAGCAAATGTCATCGGAAGGGGCATAAAGAAAACTTCTGCAGGAGAAGAGACTATAGAAAACGTCCCGTGAAATCTTACTCAAAGAAACACAGATATAGTGCTCCAACCAACAAGATATTGGTATCACATAACAGAGCACGAAGTTGCCACCAAAGAAAGTATGTGACCTTGAATATTAATAAACACCGTGCCCGTCTTCAGCTGGACACAGCTTCTGATATTACTTTAATCAGCCCAGAAACGTGGAAGAACATTGGGAGACCCACAGTTTTCCCAACAACACAGCTGGCACACAGTGCATCTGGGGGGAAGCTGAATATTGTTGGAGAAATACCATGCACTGTTTCTAAAGGTACGGTAACAAGAAATGTAACATTGTATCTTACTAAGAAGCCAGCACTAGACTTAATGGGGTTGGACCTTATAGAAACACTTAAACTAGCAGATCATTCTATCAACAGTATCTGCAGACGAGTAAGTACAGACAACATCCCAGAATGGAATCAGAAAAACGCCATGCTACAAAGACATCAAAACGTGTTTAGAGAAGGATTGGGAGAATGTACGAAAGCCAAAGCACTGTTAACTCTAAAACCTGAAGTTGCTCCCGTTTTTCGACCTAAAAGACCCGTACCCTATGCTGCTCTACCAGTGGTTGAACAAGAACTAGAACGACTTCAGAAATTAGGTGTCATTGAACCAGTGAATTTCTCAGAATGGGCCGCACCGATAGTAGTAGTAAAGAAGACTAATGGTAGCGTCCGTTTATGTGCCGATTACTCAACCGGGTTGAATGAAGCCTTAGAAACTCATCAGTATCCATTACCCTTACCTGAAGATCTTTTTGCTAAACTGAACGGAGGTAAGCTTTTTGCAAAGTTGGATTTATCAGAAGCTTATTTACAAATCCCTGTTGCTGACGATTCTAAAAACCTGCTTACCATAAACACACACAAGGGTCTATTCCGGTATAATCGATTACCCTTTGGAGTCAAGACGGCCCCATCCATATTTCAGCAAATAATGGATACTATGCTACAAGATGTTTCAGGTGCTGCAGCTTACTTAGATGATATAATAATCATGGGAGTAGATAGATTAGACTTAGAAAAGAAGCTTGACCACGTGCTGACACGAATAGCCGAATATGGACTGCGACTTCGTCCAGAAAAATGTGACTTCTGTACGCAAAAAGTACGCTACCTTGGGTTTATAATCGATAAAGATGGAAGAAGACCAGATCCGGAGAATACTCAGGCAGTGAAAACTATGCCCAGACCGACGGATGTCCCCACACTACGATCCTTCTTGGGACTAGTTAGCCATTATGGAGCTTTTATTCCAAATCTTCATCAATTACGTGCCCCCCTGAATAACCTTCTGGTGAAGAATGTAAAATGGAGTTGGTCTGCAACTTGCCAAGCCGCTTTCGATGAAATCAAGAAAGTACTAGTCTCGGATCTGCTGCTCACCCATTACGATCCATCCTTACCCATTGTAGTGGCATCAGACGCATCAAACTACGGCATAGGAGCAGTTATTTCTCACATCATGCCAGATGGATCCGAGAAAGCGATATCACATGCGGCTAGATCGTTAACGTCAGCAGAACGTAACTATAGTCAGATCGAGAAGGAAGCATTGTCGATTATCTTCGCTGTCAAGAAATTTCACAAGATGATATTTGGACGTCAGTTCACCCTATTAACTGACCATAAACCATTACTAGCCATCTTTGGGTCGAAGAAAGGTATACCTGTATACACCGCAAACAGACTGCAACGATGGGCAATCACACTTCTGGGTTATGACTTCAAGATCAAGTACCAGCCCACTACTGACTTTGGACAAGCTGACGCTTTATCTAGACTGATTGGTTCACAAGTAAAACAGAAAGAAGACACTTTGGTGGCAGCAATCGAGACTGAAACAGAAGTACATCGAGTTTTGGAAGACGCAGTTGATGGTTTACCGGTTACTTTCAAGGCCATTAAAGAAGCCACGAAAAATGACAAGACTTTAAGAGAGGTTAGTGGTTATCTTCTCAACAAGTGGCCGAACCGTCGTTTTCAAGGAGAAATGCTACAATATTTTCGCC